TACTGGCCTGGCCAGGTGCAATTTTCTAAGCGAACTTTTTGTAAACACACACCAATGGCTGCTGGTGACTAAAAAAGTCCGCTGTAAGTAAATTTTGATATGACTAAACCATTTCACCGTTCCACAATTTAGGTTGCGAAACGGGTTACAATTTGTTAGGATCTTGTAGTTGGTTGAATCTACCGACCTCCCCGAGCAACCCACCATGAAAGTTAGCAGCTAATGGATGCTATCTATACAGTTTCTAGCAATACCTACAAGTCTAAAGTTATGTGCAAAGATTTCAACATGCCACAAGTTAACTAGCTACTGCCTGGACCTACTGTATAAACGGGACTAGACGAAAAGGTGTACTCTATTCACTTAAATGGCTGCAACACACATGTCAAAGGACCCATCAGAAATACCAATACCCTAGATTTGGTATTTATCATGAGGATCCCTTCTGTTTGTGCACTCATTGATGGTCCATTGTCGAGCTGGGACCATAGTACGGCGTATTGTATCGTGAAGATTGAATGAACTAAGCCACCCAAGGATAAAGTTGCAACCCACTCATAACATTCACCCAATTGACTGGAATGCATTTAAGCAACTTATCTGCACTATGAATTGGGGGTCAGCATCCTGAATCAACAACTCGACCATGGCAGCTGGTGAATTTATCAACAACGTTGCTGCGTGTGCTGACGTACTGGCACCTGTTGTAAGGAACCGTATCTATAAGCAATGCGACAAACGTACACAACTGAACAAGACCGAAATCAAACGAAAGAAACTTAGGTTTTATAAGCACAGGACCAACATTTTCGCTACGCTACCATATATACATTAAACCATATTAACGCTACAACTGCGGAAGCAAAGCGTCAACGTGGCAGAGGAAATTCGAGCGATTACACATCCAGAAAATTCAAGTGCATTGACTTGGTTACTTAGGAGCAGAAACCTCAAACCGCACCAAGCAATCAAAACATTAGCATTACACCATAGCTCATCAACTTTCGATATATACCGCTTATACGTGTCATACAATTCCAGCTTAGCCTCCTCATTTGTCAATGACGCCCACATCTTCCACCCGCCACTCCCTAGAAGAACGCGCAGACTGCTCTGCAACGCGGCTGTGACGTGAATAGAAGTGCAGAACGCTATCACATCCGTAAAAGCTCTCCGGGCCTATCACGGCCCAGATGGTAGACACCCAGCTGTCATAAAATTGGATGATGAAGATATTCCTATCTTGTTGCTTAACATCTTCACTCTATCGTGGAACACCAGCTCCTACCTACCTTAGTGAAAGCATCCTATCATAATGCCGAAACTCAGAGGGGCCCGCGAAATGAAATGTCAAGCTATCACCTTATAAACCATACCTCTGCTCACTAAACTACTACAATGTTGTGTACTTTCCGACAAAATTGAAGCCGATCAATCATCCACAGCATGGCCTTCTCTTAACGCATTCCTACGATACTTGCCAGATACAGATCTTTGACAAATAAAACCATCATGCTTGACACAGGAATGGCGGTAATCAAAAATCTTTCGGACATGTAAAATGCCTTCGACCGCGTGCCACACAAGCCATTGCAAGCTGGGCTGCAACCATACGGTATTGCAAAAAAATTTGCTAAGCTGATTAGACTTATATCTGAACCATCAGACCCAAAGAATCTAAATGAGACAGACGTACTCCACGTCGGAACGAATAACAAGCGATGTCTTCCAAGGATGCGTGCTTAGGCCGCGACTATTCTTAATCTACATAAACAATGTACGCGATCCCGTAAGATATGGACGCACACGTTCGCAGATGACCTTAATCTAGTCCGCTCGTTTCTATCACTACGCCAGGGTAACATACGTGACGACCTATCCCCGCTGAACACATCGAGCCGAAGCCCATCTATGAAATACCGTACAAGAAAATCTCACATACTCGGGTACCGATGTCGAATCCCGGAATGCTCCATGATAACTGTCGGGACCATTATCTGTAGGTCTAATACAGTCACGGATTTTCGAATTCGATATTCAAACACCTTCCAATTTCTCTGAACATATTCGATACCAAGTCGCAAAAGCCAGACAACTATCAGGTTAGATTATTGGAACGTTCTACTTACCTGAAACACTGCTTGAACTATTCAAACTCATAGTGAAACCCGCCCTGGAGTATTGTGCCATAACTATCAGCCAAATATGAAGGATAGACAGCATAGCTATAGCAAACGTCCAACGAGCATATATCAAGCGACTCAGGGGATAATGCTGAACCCTGAATTACGACGATCGATGTCATCACCTCCGACTGGACACATTTTACCTGTGACGTCTGAAAAACAATCTCCCAATTACACAGAGGTCCTCCGTTGAATTGCCGAGAATCACTGTCCATCCCACCAGCAATGGGACTATCTAATACCCCCGTAACGTGAGCGTTGCAAAATAAATCGTCAGATATGCCCATCAGCGGAGTTAATAGCCACTACAAGTACGCACGTGTCCAAACTTTGCCGCATTCCGACTAGCCACAGAAGCTGTTCTCACTTTACCGAATGCCTTAAAGATCGTTAGCTTACAGCAACATCTGGATACATTAAGGCAAGTTGCGTTTAGCAACATCTGAGGCGCTAAAAACACGCATGCAATGCATTCTTCCTGCATCACACACTGCAACTTGTGCTTCTGCTCGACGTTTCCTCCCACTCCTCGGATGAGTGTCTTTGAGAATTACTATGAATAACTTGTGATAATGGTAGCATATGCATATAGACAAGCAGAAATTCAGTCGAACACGTCCTTGGATTGCGAAACAATCAATGCTTCATCTGCTTTTAGCATGCTTTGATTGAGAATATTTTACATGCGTAATTCTTCTTCCTGATTCTGTCAAAACACGGAACTTATGCCACAGATTCTGCGTACAAATGATTGATCCGATCTACAGATCTTATAGCGCTTGTCAGTAGATGTGCAAAATTCTATTTCTATTTGTACTTCAAAAAATTCATTTGGCTTTCTGTATACCCCTCAGCCAGGATGTAAGTAGTACAAATAAGCAACTGTTTTTCGCTCTCGAAAACCATCTTACAGGGTCGTGTCCATGGCAATGTGCAAGCTCTTATTTACGTACATGAATGATGCCTTCAGCATCACGAAACGTGACACGGCATACTTGTTTATGAAGGAAATACATGGTGCCTTCTCTGTCACAGACTTGGGGGCACACGGGAGGTTTTACAACATATTTACGCCAAAATTACATCTCTTGAAACTTGGTGTCGTTTACGGTAAATTTTGTTTGTCGCACATTGCACACTGCGTCTCACAATGCAAATCCGTTTGTGAGTTTGGCTCCGGTTGCACAAAGTATACGCACTACCAACCATTTTACATTGCTCGTCGATGTGCCAAGCATGCCCAAATCAGATGAAACGGCTGTTGATCGAAATCAATGCCGGTTTACCAAAAGGATACTTGGCTATACCACAACATTTACTAAGACTGTGCGTTGTACTCTCCTTGGACCTCAATCCTTTTAGCCGCGAACAGTGATGTCGAACCCGTGTTTCCCGTTCGTATTCATACACGGCTGTGGTCAATATTTCTACGAATCAAGGTGGCAGTTATTCCATACGTGGTATAGGTTGCGAGAGTATAAATCCAGGGGTAAAACTAGGAGTGAGAGGAAGCTTATTTCTCCATACCTACTACAAACGTCGCAGCAAATTACCCCAAAATACGGGTTTTAAATGTCCATCAAAATACATCTTGCTGTGCGCCGCATCATTTCCATGTTGCGGATATCTCCACCTTAGGAAACAGTATTCGACAATGGTGCTGACATCGAATAGTGGCGAATTTGCCATTTCTCGCATCTTGTTACTGAATGTAAAAGAGTAACTTCAAGCATGGTGAACAATTATCTCCTCAATTTTGGCTTTTGGATAAGCGTTCCGAAATTCCGAGCTGGAATATGCCTATGGTTATCAATGAGGTGAGCAACAAAGTACAATAACCATGATTGCTACCTGACGAGAGCAGATCTATAGATGCCCTTGTATGAGGCTGAGGAACCCCTTCCTATGTATATTTCCCGTGCATGCTCAACCACTTCCATTCGTCAGCGTATGTTGGAGTGAGTTCGGAATTAACATGTTGGAAGATGCCGTTTGTGGAACACAATTGTGTATCCTTTGATCTGTAACTAAGTGCTAGGCGACTCCCGCACTGCCGAGACCTAGTGGATTCCCTGATTCATTGTGTTAGTGCGCATCGGTCATCGCGTTGTTCAGCTTGATGATGTGCAGTGGTTCACATGCGGCTTCCCGCTCACACCACAAAGGATATTGACCTGACCATTCAATGCGTAACGCAATTTTGTTCCCTCGCAATATTGACCACGAGGAAGCGCCTAGACCGTGGGCGTTTACGTCATAATCATTGACCAAATTACTCCGATTTGCTTTACCGACTATCGGCCATGACATTGGAGCGGCTTACATCTTAGGCAGTACTTGGCGTTCTCAGACATTACCGTTCTCACTCCGTCATCGTGTGGGTGACAACGTCCGGCCACACATGCGTACATGTTTCTTAACGCCCATTCCCATGCCTAATAGACAGTGGTCGTCCAAACAATGAGGCCGCTATACGATTGTGCGCGCGATCAAGGCCGATGCCAACGTCAAGAACTTCATACGGTATCGAACGATTTCGCTTCGTGATCAAAGGAATTTAATTAAACTATTTACTATCGTTGGTGGGAAATTATATGTACACCGGCGGATTCGTTCTTAGTGTAAGATGTCGCTTTGTGCTTAACGTGCGTCGTATTTGCTAGCTACTGAAATTAAGAGCAGTAGTAATGTATAGAACGAACTTCGATGAGTGGTTCTGTTACGCCCTAGTCTGTTTAACCGTCAAATGTCGCTCACTAGCTCTGCGTCGGCATCCGGTGAACTATAGAAAAGACGCAAAAATCAAACACAAACCTGGATGAAAATACCTGACTCCGTCTTTTTTGGACTTCCGTCACGTCGGCTGTCTCTAAATTACGTGTCAAGTACTCGGCGCATGCTCGATGGGGAAATTCGTTTTCGCACAAGTAACTGAAATCTCGCGCCATGCGGATCGCTTCACCTGAAGAAAAATGGTAATGGAACAACATGTTAGAATGGTACCCCACTGATCGCATTACAATTGCCTGAGTAGATGGTCACGGATTTGCTTCCTCCACAAGGTCCGAAATTATTTGGTGTAGTCAAATATTTGTGAAACGTTCGAGCGTGTGAGAGCACACACAGTTGCCATTATAATCTCCTCCATATTAACATGTTTCGTTAGGTTCTTAAGTAGACTACAGACCTATAGTTAACTCTTTCAGCTAGGGCAGATTTATGGACTATTTTCTGATTTTGCCACCGGAATGTATTCCACGAATACTGCAAAATGTGATCATTCAAATGCACACTTGACAGGATTCGATTGCTCAGGCTAACTGCTAGACGGCATGAACGAATTGTGTGGTAGCATGAGCTACTGGCTACCAGAAAGTAGCTCGTATTATATACACTTCGTAGCATCAATACTGGGACATTCCCGCTTGGGCTCCCTGTGATATGTACTAATAAAACCATTTGACCACTCAAGGGACTGAAACAAAGTGGTCAACATACGGGAGTCAGTATCCATAGGCTTCACATCGTGAAGGTTCAAGCAGTGAACGAAACGGTCAACGTAGAGAGGTGGTTAGAGTATAGAGGTGGTCAGCTTCGACCGTTTTATTATATTTGACCTTATCAACAATTCGGGCATTGCTTAGGAAGTGGATTTTGTGTGCTGAAAAGACGTAACCTAATTCAGCTGCATGCTCACGCGCTTGGTGCAACAACCAAGGAGGATCGCTAGTTTTCTGAACGCTTGCTTCACTGCACCACATCCGTACCCTTCCAGTAACTGTCTAAGCTCATTGTAAAGTCAACACATGGTTAACCGTGGCACAATACGTAGCATACGGGTGTTACATGTGTACATCTTGCATGTCAGTTTCTTCTCGATTGACATGAAATGTATTGTAAACAGTAGCCAGCGTGCCTTCAGTGTGATCGCTCGAAAAATCCAACATCACATCCAGCTTGATGTTTGGTGGCCCCCGGTTCCAGATTTGCCTGTCACTGCAGCGTCCATAGAACAGCCACACGACGCCTGCACCCACGCAGGGACCATGAGTGGTTTGTGCTACATCACCCACGGTTCTATCTACACACCCCAAACCCAGTGTTAACCCGAAGGAATAAGACCGGGTGGAATATGGATCGGAGCCACGTTTCATCAACTGAGCCGGCCCACACTCGTTCAACATGTGAAACAGCAGCACCATTCCTATCTGTCTCTGTTGGGAATCTTGCGTTCAAAACATACACAAGCCGGTGGCTGGGCCGTAGCCCGCTCCACACCGGATGGATGTAACCACTAGTTGAGGCTAACACGGCCAGGAGGACTGTACAATCCCAGCAATGATTCACAGTCTCCTGGAGACAGCAATCGCGACATAGGTGGTTAGACTGATAGGCGCCTTGTCAACATTCACATCAACCGCAGTCACACCGGGGCTGCCAAACAATTTACGCAGGGGAATAAATGCGTAAAACTGACGCGGAATATATGGCAGAATAACAGAACTGAGCCAATCAAATAAAGTGGAATACTTTTATCCAGGTTAAGAAGATCTAGTTTAGGCATAAGTCGCATGATGTACGCAGCACCAACGCGTTTTTATGCCGTGGTGCCAAGGCACCGGTAGACCACTTTCCAAGGTGCACTACATTGTGATATCATCTTGTGGATCCCTGACACAACTAAATGAGGTTTGGTATGCCAATTCCGTAGCGACTAGGACGTATTTGTGATGCACAATGATTCTATGGTGGCAGCATGAAGCTCACTGAGTGATTAAGTGATGAGTTATTATCCACTTGTCTGTTGCGGTAACTGGACCTTATCCAACAGCAGTTAAACCCAACTTGAAGTTTCCAGTCTAGGCTCATTTGTACTACCGCTGGCGCGTTTTGTCCTTTAGCCTACTACAGGGGGAAACCAGAGCTGCATAATACCCACTGCAAAATTTGATCAAGCATACTACTAATTTAGCCGCTTCGAGTGTGAGCATATCATTGTGTTCTGTACCTGTTTCTATGTGGTTTTGAAACTGGTAAACATTCTGCTTTGTACTGGCCAAATTCCAATTAAAAACGAACTTCGTAACGTGTATATCTCTCCCTTTGAGTAGCGCGTCGAATGGGTGCCTTTTTGGTCCTCTTCCTAGTCCCCGGTCGTAGTGGTTTGACGGTCAGTGCGATTGAGTGTTTCGGACTGATGTTAGCAGCGGTAGTTTGTCGCAATTGTCTTCTACGTATTAGTGGATGGTAACTGAATAAAAGCTACTACGAACCTACTTCAGGATCTATGAGGTCTTCTTGAAGTGCATATGCACCAAACATTTTCGGTATGCAAGATAGCGATCTATAGTGCCGAACTTATATATCTACAGAGGGGCAGCCTCTCAAAAGACAGTGTCAGGTGATGATATTAGGGAGAGACTTGTAAAACTAATCTGTCGTGCGAACCGGTCTACCTGGTAATCTAGTTTCCCTATAGAGCCAACCCAGCGCTTCCAGACGCTGCGCTTCTTATCGGCTTACCGAAAATGATGGCTATGTAGAAACTTGCTCTGTCTCCAATCTCAGGCTGCAACAGTATGCATCGTAGACTCTGGAGAAAGTTATACACTTCAGAGTCCGAACTAGTACAATAGTCACGTCAAGTCACCATAAGCTTATGTACTCAAATGTGTGCATTTTCAACCTGTTACATTAGTAACTGTAAATGTACTAAACGTACACCAACAACAATGCATTCTTATGCACTTGGATAGAGTAAGAACAAAGATGCACCGTCATAAATCGATCGAGCAACAATCGCATAATGCTGAACCTAATCTTCGGGATTTGCATCCATACGAAAGCGAAAAGTTTCATTTAAACGCTTTTTATGACTCGTTTCATTTTGCAGTAAAATTTTGTGTCCAATGGCAATAGACAGGGGATCGTGCGCGATATCTCGCTTTTATATTCGAAAAGTGAACAGAGTAGATTTGTCCCAGTGACCATAGAACTTGGTTGAACAAAATCTCTGTCAACTTATTCTTACAAAATGATATTTACAGTAGAAAAAGTAAAAAAACATGTTCGGCGGAAAAGGCAAAGGTCGATTTAGATGCCCCGCCTCGTTGTTTTAATTGTCGCACCAACAAGGCCATTAATAAAGTTGATCTAATAAATATGATTGAACCGCTCATTAGGGCCGGGTGCTGTTGATGGCAGCAACGCTGCGTAGCAACACCAGTCTACTCCTTGGTTGGATACCTGAAGTATGAGTAACCGAATGTGGGAAGACATACGGACACACTGTGGCTTACGGATTCCGACTAGCACACTAAGACATTCAGTGCCTCAAACAACACCTGGCACACTAATTCACAATTCGTCATCCGGTTTCGGAGCTATTACTCATTACTTATCTGTATCCAGCTCAATCTATGTTTACTCGAAGCGTTCATAAAAAAAATTCTACAGCAATACGGGGATGAGTGCCAACGAAAACCTCCCTACTTTGGGTTCAGTTCACTGGATTGAATAGCCGGAAATTTCTTTCACTTGAATCGATTCAAATTGAGGGGGTATATCAAAATCCGTCAGTAAAGACTCTGGCTTGTCCCGATTTTTCTAATGATATGCTCGTACGGTAAAGCATAATTGTAGCCTCAAGTTCTAAGACCCAAAGCGCTAATGCTGCATTCAGAACCGTGGTTGATGTTGTTGTTGTTGTTGTTGTTGTTGTTGTTGTTGTTGTTGTTGTTGTTGTTAATGTTCATTTTGTTGGCTGACCTTCGCTGCACTCTACCCTACTTTAGCTGGTTTACTGTCTCTTTCTGCAATTGCAATGGACACATCTTGGGGAATCATCCATGTGTGTTTTTGCGCCAAGATTGGCCGCGAATTGTCCAGAAGGCTGCAAAGATACACTAAGTTAAGCGCCTGTCACTATCATGAGATAACGATTTGAGCAGGACTGTTTACGCTCCTCCACTCAGGCATGTTTATAAATATTTCTAAAGTTGCAGCTACATTCTGTATCTGTGGACCAAACTCCGAAAATTTTTCGTGGCCTTAATGCGCCTAACTTAATAACAGGTGTATTGTGAGGCTATTTGCTTTGCACGCATGAAGTGCAAAGCTTTTATCCAAGATTGACAGGGCCCTCCACCTGCGTTAACCCTAGCTGGCAGTTGTATCAATGCTTGTGAAATCAAAGAAAAGGTTACGAACCGTATAGCAAAATGTCGAGTGTTTTTGCTAACTTCAGCATCTATGACGCCGGCGCCACATTAGTCTCTCTCTCCCTGAAGAGTGGTTGCAGTACAGCCGTATATTCGACCCGCTGTACGACCATGAAATCTGGCCCATTAGATCAGCAGATATAAAGAGGCCAGTTACCTTCGACCACCGTTACCTTCGCAACTTGGATAGCATCTGATGGAAACACCAAGTGAGCAACCAGCGTGTTCGACCCCCTGTTTATGACACAGGATGAGGAAAGGAACCGCTCAGCACCGTTGTTTCATGAACCAGGCTATCGTAGCTGAGCTACGTGGTGCGCATGCCAAAATACCGACTCCAGCAACGTGCGTTGTTTGCTCGATCTGGTTGCGGATGGAAGGAGGCGTGGCCAGGCAATAATTTGGTCAAGAGGAATGAAGTCCCTTACTTCGAAGTTGGCCTTGATTGGAGCCTCTTGGCTGTCTGGTTGGTGCGCGAATGACGACTCACATTTTTGACTGGATACACCTGTTGACAGGAGGAACAGCTGACCTCAGTGACGTTTGTGTTGTGAGTTTCTTCGCCCCTCTCCCTCCCGCTGAACCTTCCTATCCTACCCCGCTCTCATTTCCCGTGCTTGATAAAACTTGCTGCGTCAAAATAGCCTGCTGTCATCCCTCCGGAACGATGTTCATCCGTTACTCGTGGCTCAGCTGGTGTGCATGTGTTGGGTTTTTTTCTTTTCTAAGGTATTCCAGTACA